TAGAATTGCTGAGTGGAAGGAGATGCCCTTTATCAGTTTTGCCAGAAATTGGCAAACTGCTCTTCAAAGTGGAGGGAACAATTTGCCATCATACTGCTGAGTGCATGTGATTTCCTGTTTTCCTACATTCTCACCAACATGTGGTGCGATGGGGTCTCTTCGTATTTGCCGTGCTCATGGCTGGGATGTGATCATGCACTGTTGGCTGCGTTTGCATTTTGCTGATTACCAGAGAGGCTGAACACATGCTGCCACATGTTGATCCGTGAGCGCAACTTACCGTGACATTAATCAGAACATTGGCCTGAGGTGGGCTGTGTGATTGCGCACATCGTCATCATCATTGCTAAATTTTTTTTTATTATTGTTTTTTAAAAATTGAGATGGGATCTCCCTGTTTTGCCCAAGCTGGTCTCGAACTCCTGGCCTCAGGTGATCCTTCCACCTTGGCTTCCCAAAGTGCTGGGATTACAGGTGCGAGCCACCGCACCCAACCATCATTGCTAAATTTCCCAAGTGCCTACCATGACCCTGTACCAGACACTGTTCTAATATATTTCATCTTCACAAAACTCCATGAGTTAAGTGACATTATTCACTGTGGCTGAGGTGGCCAAGACACAGAGGCTAAATAACTTGTCCAAGTTCATGCAGCCAGAAAGCAGCAGAGACTGGATTCGAACCCAGGCAAAGCTAATGCCCTCAACCACTCCGCAGAGAGCTGGCAGGTGTCTCATTCTGGGAACACTGTACAAGTTTGACTTGTGGGTATATAAGTGATCACAGGCAGGGCAACGGCACTTCAACTGCTGAACTGTGTTAAAGGATGACTATAAAACCTTTGTAAAAACTGAGGATGTGGCCGGGCATGGTGGCTCACACCTGTAATCCTAGCACTTTGGGAGGCTGAGGAGGGTGGACTGCTTGAGGTCAGGAGTTCGAGACCAGCCTGGCCAACGTGGTGAAACTCCGTCTCTATTAAAAATACAAAAAATTAGCTGGGCGTGGTGGTGTGCACTTGTAATCCTAGTTACTGGGGGGGCTGAGGCAGAAGAATCGCTTGAACTCAGGAGGTGGAGGTTGCAGTGAGCTAAGATTGTGCCATTGCACTCCAGCCTGGGCAACAGAGTGAGACCCTGTCTCAAAAACAAACAAACAAACAAACAAACAAACAAAAAAACCTGAGGATGAAATTGATCCTTCCAAGGGTATTCATATCTGAGATCCAATCCCCCAAGTTGTAAGAAGCCATACAGAGAAATATTCATGAACAAATTGATATTTATCCTGCTTAAACTTAGCTTCTCTCATTTTGTCCTTTGTCAATCTCCATTGCAAACATGGGGCCATGCAAAGCAAGATCACTGCAAAATGAAATTGCAAATCTTTTAAAAGATGCAGGGTTTGTGAAATTAATTAAGATGATGCTGGAAGATAGCTCAAAAAACACATGCAACTCCACTGACGAATAATTACCTGGTCTATAAAGATACTACATGAAGGAGAAGAGACTATTGAGAAGGATGATGAAGTATGAAATGCACTTCACAGGGGAAGATTCAGATGTCAAAGAATTACGAGAGGCCCTTGGAAAAACTGATCAAATCTCAAATACTTTTGCAAAAATGTCCCTGGTGAAGTAAAGGATATCATCTTGTGCCATCCATTTAAATTTGTGAAACACATTATATTCCTCCCTAAAATTCATCAATTCACTTGCTTAAAGAATCAACTCATTAGTTACAGCTAGAGCCCAATCTTTGTTAAATATCATTAGATACAACCTAACAGAGGGCCGGGTGTGTTGGCTCACGCATGTAATCCCAGCACTTTGGGAGGCCAAGGCAAGTGGATCACTTGAGGCCAGGAGTTTGAGACCAGCTTGGCCAACATGGCAAAACCCCATTTCTATAAAAAATACAAAAATTAGTCAGGTATGGTGGCAGGCGTCTGTAATCTCAGCTATTCAGGAGGCTGAGACAGGATAATCGCTTGAACCCAGGAGGCGGAAGCTGCAGTGAGCTGAGATTGTGCCACTGCACTCCAGCCTGGGTGACAGAGCAAGACTCTGTCTTAAAAAAAGAAAAAAAGAGACGTAACATAACAGAGTTATTCTTGAAATATCGTAGTTTCATTTCTAGATCGAATACCTTACTAAGTACATTAAAAGCACTGTTTATTATGAAATGTGGGTCCACTTAAGTAGCATTTTTCTGGGGTCAGTCTTCCTTAGTTTGGGCTGATCTCCTCTATTCAAACGACTATCACAAACACAAATGTCCAATAACCGTTAGGGTGGCCTAGACTTTACTTGTCCTTCAGTATCCATTTGCTTCTTCTCCCACAGTAAAATAATTTTCATCTGGGTAAATGTCCACCTAGAATAAGACTACATTTTGCAGGCCCCCTTGCAGCCGTGCATGGCCATGTGACTTGTTTCTCACCAATGGGAAATAAGGAGAAAGGGAGTCTGAGTCTCTGACCACTTCATAGATCAGGGCCACCAGAACTTGGAATTTTATTTGACATTCCCGGTCTCTCTCACACACATGGCCAAACTTAAATCCAACTGAACCAACTTTGCCAGGTGGCCACATGAACACAGGGTTTAATATGGCTGAAGACTCAGCAGGAACAATTTATTTTTGGTCCCTGAGGGATTAAAAATTTACAATATATTCTAATATGTATGTACAGATCAATCTAAAAGGAAAAAATAATCTAGAAGGTTTTGAAGTCGTTATAGATTTTTGTCATTTTTCTTAGTCAACATTGATCAGTATGACATATCATACAGTTGGATCTTTAAAATATTTCCACTTTAAACAACCTAATACAAAACTCAAACCTGAGCTTCCTAGCTGCCAAGGCAAAGAGGGAAAGTATACAGGGTATGTGGCTCTTGCCATTTAATAACCAGGAGTATACCAGTTCATCAGACTAAATGGTGCTTTCAGGGTCCTGAGTTCTGAAAGTAAGGCTGCAATGGGATTCCTTGTACAGAGTGGCATTCTAAATATAATGAATAAAATTCTCAGCGGCAGTTTTACAAACATGTAAATGTTCTCCGTGTCTGGCTCTTTACACTTGACATCATGCTCCCAGTCTTCGTGAGAGTATAATAATGAAGCATAGTTGAATAAAAGCACTTCTTTAGGGAGACAGCTTTTTGGTGACTTGCGTACACTCAAGCACAAGTTTGGGAAATCCACTTTAGAGAATGTTTATTCTTCAGATGGTTTGTTTTCTCATGTTGTCTGTAAGATTTTGGAACACTAGCCTTAAGCTCCCACCCTTGGCCCTCAGAATGTCACAGAACATGTGAGCTTCCTTTCAGTCTGATGAATACGATTTCCACGCCCCCTCTGAGTTCCCATGGTCTTGCATTCCATTTTGATTATGCCACACACACCTCACCTCTGGGCAGGTCTCTTTTTTGGGCCGCAGTGGCCCTGGCTGTGAAATGAGGGGGATTGATGAGAACAGGTTTAGGGTCTTTACTGATCTTCCGGCATCCAGAACGAAAGGTTTCTTTATAGACCTTTCACCCAGAGGTTGTGGAAAGAGAGTCTGTGAGCCACATCCTCACCCCTCAGACATACTTTTTTTGGCCCCCAGTATACATTAAACAGAAAGTAAGTTGTGCCGGCATATTTTAAAATAATATTTTCAGTGAAATATTCAGACTTTAAAACATTTCAAGGTTGTCACTCTTGAGTGTATGGCTGTACTTTCTGGACCCAAGTTGCAGGTGCATCTTCAATAGGGGCCCACTGCTCTGCTGCGGGCCTGCCTGCCCTGCTTCTGCTGGCAATATCCAGGCCCTCCAACCATCTAGGGTGGTGGTCATGGTAACCTCTGACACACGTGGCTTTCTGCAGACGCTCAGGGGAACCAACAGGTGGTTGATTCTGCACAATGGCACGCACGATATACAGGACCAAGGTATAGTAGGAACGAGGCCTTCCTAGTTCTCAGCAGAACATACTTTCTAGGTGATTCTGGCTGTGGGATGAGGCTGTAAGAAGACACACCTTACTGGCTGGCTTGCTCCCCACCCCAAAGCATCCCTGCCAGCCCAAAATGTGTATCTGAGAGGTAGCTGCCCCGCCTCGAGGGCTGCAGGTTCAGGGCTGTGAACAGGGCTGAAGGAGGCACCCATCCTTCCCTTGCAGCACTCCCACCCAAACAAACCCCTTGTCACTTGGATGCAACTTCCTGGGGTTGCAACATCTGAACCACAGTATCTGATTTCACAACTGCCGCAGCTTCTTACCCAAGGTGGGGAGTATTTATTTATTTTTAATTAAAGCAAGTTAAATTAATTGAGTCTGGAGGGTTTTGCAATAGGGCTGGAGGTAAGTGACTATACTGTAATTGCATCTCTACCTCAGACAACCAGCCTGGTAGGTGAGCCTTCAGAGCCCACCAAAGACCTCCTGCAGGATAAGCAAACAGGAACCAGGTCACCCTCCACCGAGGACGACACTTACCGGGTGTGCGGACAGTCAACCGCCACGTCAGCTTCTGCACCACCTTGGTTACCGCCATGTAGAGAGCAACCACACAGCCCCATATCTGTTGCCCTCCACGAATTCCCATCCCCCACCCCCATATTTTGGAACCTTCTTCCAAGCTGATGGTTTGAAGTCAACACAACAGTCCCTGATGTGCTTAATAACAATTAACAGAGGATGCAAACTCATGCACGGGCACCTTGTGGCCTCTCTGCACTATAATTCCTATTTTGAAAAGACTCACTTTTTTTGGGGGGAACTCAAATTCCTTTGACAAGGTCACTTTGCATCACTACTGTAGGCAAATACATCTATATTTCTCTAATACACACAGAAATAAATGCACAACTCTGAAATTATAAGAGAGTTGCTCTAGGGGCTATCCACAATCATCTCGGGTACCGCAGTGGCGCACGGACCACACCCAGGGATGCCCGCCTCGGCTGTCTCTCCCTTCCTGCACCCACCCCCGTCCCTGCTCACCTGTCCGGTAGCCAGTGCTATTGAGGTACACGGCGAAGGTGCGGCTCTCGTGCTGCGCCTGCCAGGAGGGCGAGGAGCAGTTCTCGTTGTTGGTGTAGGTGTTGTGGTTATGGACGTACTTGCCGGTGAGGATGGAGGAGCGCGAGGGGCAGCACATAGGCGTGGTCACGAAAGCGTTGATGAAGTGCGCCCCGCCCTGCTCCATGATGCGCCGGGTCTTGTTCATCACCTGCATGGAACCTGCAAGGTGAAGGTGGAAGTGAGGCGCAGGGCAGGAGACCCGGGGGGCACCGGCACTGGGGGAACTCTCACCATGGCATCCCTAGGTCTGGAGCGGGCACATTCTGCAGACTTACGGGGCAGGGGCCACTGGTGGCATTTGTGGACAGGGGCCACTGCTGCACGGTGGGACCGACCGGCACCATCAGGGAGGACCCTGGGTCCTGAGTCTGCCTGGACACTCCTGTGGTCCAGGTCTGGAGTCTGGAGGATTTTGCAATGGTGCTGGAGGTGCGTGACTGTAAGCGCCTGTACTGTCACTGTCCTGTACTGTAATTGCATCTCTACCTGCAGGGCAGGTAAAAACCTGTTTATAAATGACCTGAGACTGGAATCAAACTGTTTTACAAATTTTAAACAGAACATTGTTTTTGTTTTGTTTTTTCTTTCGGAAACCAACCACCATGTAAATTGAGAGAAGATTATACTTTGTTTTCTTTGGAACCTTCCCAAGAATTGTTTGCTCTTATTGAAATCTGGTCATGCCAACCTGGTGGCAAACCTTCTCCCTGAGTATTCCCTGGCTGGGGTGCCCCGCCATCAGCCACAGACCCTGCTGGCCTCTTGTCCACATGTTTCTTCGAGCCTGGAACCCATCAACCCTCACCCCAAATCCAACCCATCAGCCTAGTACACCTCTCGTAAGGAGCCTCTGGCACCACCCTGGCCGCCGGGGATTCAGAGCTCTGAGCACTCTTGCAGCGTGTGTCCTGAGCACTGATCATACCCCAGGCTTTGAGGTTTCAGTCATGCCTGCTCTTCTTTGTTTTCTTTTTTTTTTTTTTGAGACAGTGTCTTGCTCTGTTGCCCAGGCTGGAGTGAAGTGGTATGATCTCAGCTCACTGCAATCTCTGCTTCTCAGATTCAAGAGATTCTCTTTCCTCAGCCTCCCAAGTAGCCCCCATACCTGGCTAATTTCTGTATTTTTAGTAGAGACAAGGTTTCGCCATGTTGGCCAGGCTGGTCTTGAACTCCTCACCTCAAGTGATCTGCCTGCCTCTGCCTCCCAAAGTGCTGGGATTACAGTCATGAACCACGTTGTCTGGCCATGCCTGCTCCTGTTTCTCAACCAAGCTGTAAGCAGAGCAAGACACTTAGGAAGAAAGGAAAGAAGGAAGGAAGGAAGCAAATGAACGTGTGTGGGAGCCCTACTGTGTGCAGGCCACAGTCACAGGAGGGCAAAGGCCGTGTGCTCCACTCAGTGCTGAATCCTCAGCACTGCTGCCGTGTGACACACAGTGGGTACTCAACATAGGTGTGACAAGTGCATGCTCAATTGTATGCTGTGGTTGGTGCCCAAACCTTTAGTGATTTGATGGAAACATTCCATGGAAATCCTCTCTCTTCCTTCTATGGCCATCCCTGGATTTTCCCCTTTTCCTTGCAGTTCTTAAGGTGTGCAGCAGGTTGAATGGTGCCCCCGTCCCCTAAAGATAAGACCATGTCCTAATTTCTGGAGGCTGTGAACATGACCATATTTGGAAAGACGGTGATATGATTTGGCTGTGTCCCCACCCAAATCTCATCTTGAATTGTGGCCCCCATAATTCCCACGTGTTGTGAGAGCGATCTGGTGGGAGACAACTGAATCATGGGGGTGGTTTTTCCCATACTGTTCTCTTGGTAGTGAATAAGTCTCACGAGATCTGACGGTTTTATAAAGGTTTTCCCTTCTGCTTGGTTCTCATTCTCTCTTGCTTGCCACCACGTAAGATGTGCCTTTCACCTTCTGCCATGATCCTGAGGCCTCCCCAGTCACATGGAACTGAGTCCAGTAAACCTCTTTTTCTTTCTAAATTACCCAGTCTCAGGTATGTCTTTATCAGCAGCATGAAGACAGACTAATACAGGGGGTCTTTGCAGATGTAATTAAATTGAGGATACTGATGTGAGATTTGTTCTGGATTCCCCGGTGGGCCCTAAATCCAGTGACAAGTGTCCACATAGGACACAAAGTGGAGAAGACGCACAGGCACAGAGGGGAAGGCCACATTCAAAGGGAGGCAGAGACTGGAGGGATGCACATACAAGCCAAGGAACAAGGAACTCCTAGGGTCCCAGGGCTGGAAGAGGCAACGAAGGGCTCTCCCCTAGAGCCTTCTGAGGAAGCACAGCCATGCTAACACTTTGATTTCGGACTTCCGGCCTCCAGAACTGTTGAGAGAGTACATTTCTGTTGTTTTAAGCCACTCAGTTTGTGATTTGTTAGGACAGCAGTGGGAAACCAAAACAGGGTCTACCAGGCATGTGAAGGCTGTGATCCCACTCACCTAGCAACCCCCTAGAGACCTGAAAACACACATTAGACCCACCACAGCCTCCTGGGTTGATCTGGGGAGGGCCCTCTGCTCACCAATCAGCTGCTTCTACTTTCAATTTTTACCACCAATCAAGGCACCAAGGTCTTGCCCTTGAGGTCCCAGGATTGCCCACTGGCTGCCCTCCCACCTCCTGGTCTCTGCCTCAGCCGTACCCCCAGCCTAGGATGCTCCCACTCCTCCAGTCACAGGGCTACCTCTGTCTTCTTCAAAGTATTGATCAGACACCATCTTCTTGGAGAGGCCCTTCCCTGGCCTGTATTGAAACTGCCTCCCCCAACCCATAGCACTCTCCACTCTGCTTCCCCACTCCGTGTCTCTCCACAGCAGTTACTGTCCTCAAACATAAGTCATTTTGATTTCACTTATTTGTGTGTTGCTGCCTTCACCAGAGCACTCCACAAAGGCAGGGACTCAGCCTACTTTGTTCACTGCCTAGCACAGTGCCTGGCACATCATGTGCTCAACAGACACCAGCTACAATAACACATCAAATACTATCTTACACTCTTGGGTTTTCATATCTCAGGAGTCCAAACCAGTTGATGTCCACAGATCTGTGTGTTGGTGTCTTATAGAGTGGATTTTAAAAATTTGATATTAATAGCATCACACCGAATATCTGCTCTCCAGTTTGCCACACTCCCCTGCACTCCCTACAGTCTTCCGCCACCTGCACCCACTCTCATTACCTGCCTGACCCCTGAACACTTGGGTGTTGCAACCTTCTGGTATACCTAGGGAACTGAGAGCGCTCCAACTTATTCCTGGGGAAGAGGGCAGTCTTCTATGCCAACAATAATCATTATAATTAATAGTGGCGACTATCACTGGCGGAACGCTTATGGCAGGGCTGAAGACACTCATCACTTAATTCTGCCAATGGCCCATTTTACAGAAGAGGGAACTGATCCTGGGAGCTGAATGACTGGCTAAGGCTGCACAGCTGGGCAGGCAGAGAAGACTCAAACCCAGTAGAGGTGGGGTGCTGAGTTTCACATTCACAAAACATTGCTGTCACACGGGAGGTGGTAACAGTGTCCTGAGGAAGTACAGCGAGGTCCCCATGCTCCTGATCCCCTCTTGGCTTCAGTTAAGCTCAGAATGGTCCCTTGGTGACCCAGAAGGGGACCACCTAGTGGTGACTTCATCAGGCACACCAGTGGTGGGGCGGCACAGAGTCACATCACCAAACACCAGGGACACTGGTGGTGTGAAAGGCCGCTTGGAGCTCCAGGCAGGGGGTGGCACTGACTTAGGTTAATTGCGTGGGTTGGTTTCCTTCTATTTAGGGCAAGTAACCTCAGCTTTTCCTTTAGGGTAGTAGAAATCCTTCTTTTAAAAACAACAACAAACAATTACAGCCAATTTTTAAAAAGTAAGTAATAGTACAAGTGGCATACAGATATATGATGAAAATTGTGAGAGAATGATTAGAATTTAGCAATCACTGGCTTGGTACAACCGGGACCTGACATCCCTTGATATGTGGCTTGGTACAACCCTGACATCCGCTGATGTCATCTGGCTGTCGATTAGACCTCGAGTGCCACACCCACAGCCGAGCCCTGATGTCACCGTCCCTCCAGCCCCTCCCAAAGCCACTCCCCTTTCCTCTGGGTACTCGGGCAATCATCTTGGCTACGGTTCCTCCCATCTTTCAGTTCCCACATCCAATCTATCAGCAAAGCCTGTTGCTCTCTCTTCAATGTAAGCATCCACGGTCGGACCCTTGCCACCTCTCCCGTGGGCCAGGTGATCATCCTCTCTCCCTGAAATCAGGCCAATTGCTTCCTGATTGGACTCCAGTCACTTACTCCCCATGGTGCAGCCAGAGTCTCTTCTCCTGACACTCTCCGGGGCTCCTGCTCACTCAGAGGAGCCCAAGTCCTTCAGGCCATCCACAGAGAGTGGTGGGACCCAATTCCCTCCCTCCCTAACCCCATCCCCCTCTCCGCCCACTCTCTGCAGCCGCAGGGGCCTCCCCTCTGTCTGCAGACTGACCAGTCGTGCTCCCATCCCAGAGCCTTCGCCCTGCTGTTCCTTCTGCCTGGAACACCTCTCCCCTAGAGCCCCCCTCTTGTCTTTAGAGTTCCTTTCTCCGTGGAGCCTTCCCTGGCCCCCAATATTTTCTCCTCCTTTCCTTGCCTGACATTTTCAACCCTGCACTCATCATCTAACACACGATATACTTTTATGGATTTAACTACTGATCCCGTCTGCTGTCCCCTGTGACTTCTGATGGCTCCACAGTTCTAGCCCCAAAACCTAGAACAGTGCCTGGCATGCAGCGGGTGCTCATAAATGTTTCTTAAATGCATGAGTCCAGGGCACCCCAAGTGGAATCGATCCTTTGCTCTCTGGTCCCAAACGCTAAGGAGAAAGGACGAAGCAGCTGGTGGTGAAAGCTCGGCCTCTCTCGGTCTCCAGAGCCTGCAGAAAGGGCAAAAGCTGGCCACCCACCCGATTGGTCAGACCCTTCTCCTGGAACGAAACGCAGGGCAGGCCATCACCTGATGAAATCACCTGCAGTCCACAGCCCCCAGTGCTGCCTTGGCAAACAGTGAACAGCCTCCAGAGACATTTCTTGTTTTTAATGGGCTCAGATCCAGGGTCTTGAAATGCTTAAATCTCCTTCCTCCT